TCTTCAACGCTTGCGTGCTGCCGGTCATGACATATGGCGCTGAAACGTGGACATTGACCGTAGTTATGGTCCGTAAGTTCAAAGTCGTTCAGCGTGCTATGGAAAGGTGTACGCTCGGAGTTTCTTTGATGGATCGAGTCAGAAATGATGAAATCCGTCAAAGAACCAAAGTAAACGACATAGCCCTAAAGATTAGCAAGCTGAAATGGCAATAGGCTGGACATACGGGTATGTGGGAGTTGAACCTCACTAAAAACTCCTGCAGCTCACCGTCTCAATAGCTCTACCCCGGATCGGGCCAAAGCTATTGAGACGGCGGGACAGGGCTTATGCAGAGCATATTACATCCATCCCGCCGTCCCCTAGACGCCGGACCCGCGGCCGCAAAAGATGTGTTTCGGTATTTTGGAGATTTTTATTTATTAATTTACCGTGCATTATTAGAATACTAACTACGTTTAAATTGAATTTAAAAACGTAATATCAAATAAAGTGTGAACAAGGTACCGTAATATAGTTTTTTTTTTGTCTATTTATGTTTCGCTTTGTTATACCCAATCTGGTTCGTTCCGTCCGATTCGGATTCGTCGAAGGCAGAATCTTTGTTAGCGATATATGGTATTCATTATTTACGATACAGAATAAAACCACAGCTTAGGAGTCACGTCATGACGGATCCTCCCGATCCATTAACGGTGCTTTTAGGTACCTCAAGCACCGGTCACCGTCCTTGTCGAACCCGTCGCTTGCGACGAAGGGCTCGACGAGCGAATTAAGCCACAGCCAACTGACAGACATAGCCCATTGAGTCTCACGTCGGATCTTCTCAGTGGGTCGCGTTTCCGATCCGGTGGTAGATTCTGCGAAGCACTGCTCTTGCTAGGGCCAGTATTAGCAACACTCCGGTTTGAGCCCCGTGAGCTCACCTACACTTTAGGGTGAAGCTGAAATAGCCTCTCAAGGCAAACATAGGTAGGAAAAAAAAATTAGGAGATCCGAATAGAAAGTATTTTTTTTTTCTCCTAGCTAGTACTTAACTTCAAAATACCAGCTCACCTTTGAGATGCCTTTAACATCGTAAGGCCACTATTGTCTGTATTGAAGAAGTTAACCTTCTTCCACGTATGTATCCCACTAAATAGTTATTTTTATTGCTTCGATAGGTGGACGAGCTCACGACCCACCTGGTGTTAAGTGGTAAGCGGAGCCCATAGACATCTACAACGTAAATGCCGCCACCCACCTAGAGACGTGAGTTTTAAGTCTCAGTTTTTACAGTACAACCACCCTTCAAACCGAAACGCAATACTGCTTCACGGCAGAAATAGGCAAAGCGGTGATACCTACCCGTGCGGACTCACAAGAGGTTATACCACCGGTAACGTAGTACCACCAGTCATATTTTATTGACAATGGTTACAACACCCGGTCATCTTCTCGCGAGTGACAAAAAATATTTTTTCCAATTCATGGTAGATGTTTGCGGGAAGGTTTTCAACAAATAACAATACTACAAATGCTACCAAAACGAATAAAGGAGACATATCAGTCCAGAAAGCTAAGCTATGTGAAGATAATACTAACATTTAACCTGTCGATACGTTTTCGATTCAACCATATAAGGAAACAAAACATATTGTTTGATAATACAACACACACACACACGTTCTATTTAATGAACCGCTATCTGAACGTGGTTTCTAGATAAACAACGATGTATTGCCGACACTGCACTTGATAATATACATAAATAAACGACCTTAGAGAATTCAATTTCAATATCTACTGTATTTCAAAGGTTCTCAAGAAGCTATAGAGATACGCGGTATTCAAATTACGTACTAATTAAGTTGTTAATTATTTTGTGTCCGAAACTGTACTGAATTTATAATATAATAAGGATACCTGACATATGCCTGACAGTAGAGACACGTATTTTCCTAAATATTGATGCGATGATACAACAATAATCTAAAGGTAGTTTAAAAACTAAAAAAACACACACTTATGTAGATAACATAATTAGAATATAATTTAATCTCTTTATTTTAATCATCTTGATACTGGTTAAGATATTGTTAGAGTGAAGTTTTAAAATTATTGTATGGTCGTTAATGTGCGTGAAAATCTTCAAGTTAAAAAAGGACGTTTTGAAGTCGATGAACAGGACGTTCAAAGATTCAATTACCTATGTACTTATGTACATACACCGAACGAACAAAAGCTTGTTAAAAATGAGATTTCTCTTAGATTAAAGATTGAAAGATTTCAATGGTGCACCTAATTCTTTAACTTTAACTTAAAGCTACGTAAAATCTTTTCATCACAAATACCACAGTGTCTCAAGACGAAAGTCTTTGACCAGTTTGTGTTGCCAGTGATGACATATGGCACTGAGACGTGATCGCTCACAATGGGCCTTATGAGAAGGCTCAAGGTCACCCAAAGAGCAATGGAGAGGGCTATGCTCGGAGTTTCCCTGCGAGATCAAATCAGAAATGAGGAGATTCGCACGAAAACCATGGTAACCGACATAGCCCAAAGGATTGCGACACTGAAGTAAAAGTGGGCAGGACACATTGCTCGCGGAACGGATGGCCGTTGGGGCCAGAAGGTTCTTGAGTGGCGACCGCGTACTGGAAGACGTAGCGTGAGTAGGCCTCCCACAAGGTGGGCCGACGAGCTATTGAGGTTCGCGGAGATCCGCAGGATGCAGGCAGCGCAGGACCGGTCTTTGTGACGAGGCTTGGGGGAGGCCTATGTCCAGCAGTGGACGTCCATGGGCTGATAGAATAAAATAGAATAGAAAACTTAAAAGGCTAAATAATTAATTATTTATCATTACTACCTACGAATCTGTTCAAACCTCAATCGAAGAAGGATATGTCATAGCGCTCGGGAAGCACCGTACCGGGGAGTTCGTTCTAAAGCCACATGGTACATTGCCCACGGAGTTTCTCGCCGGATGTTCTCAGTGGGTCGCGATTCCGATCCGGCGGTAGATTCTGCGAAGCACTGCTCTTGCAAGGGCTAACGATAGCAAATTCTCTCAGGTAGGACCTCTTTACTGGTGGCAGGACCTCTGGTGAGTCCGCACGGGTAGGTACCATCATCTTACCTATTTCTACCGTGAATCAGTAATGCGTTTCGGTTTGAAGAGTCTGGCAGCCGTTGTAACTATACTGAGACCTTAGAACTTATATGTCAAGGTGGGTGGCGCATTTACGTTGTAGATGTCTATGGGCTCCAGTAACCACAACACCAGGTGGGCTGTGAGTTCGTCCACCCATCTAAGCAATAAAAAAAGGTTGAGCCCGTGAGCTCCGAAACCCGTCCGCGATAAGCTCTAACAGTCCCTTAGACTACTAGCGAATAAAAAAAAGATGGTACGTAGCATGAACGATGCGTATAAATTCCGAATGATAATACCTAGTCTTGCCATAAATACTGAGACAAAGGAAAAAAAAAATTCTATTGCAAATAACATTTATTACTTTTACAGTGTGTTTAATACATAAATATAAAACAATTTAAAGTATAAAAAGCTTATTCGAAGTGGTCTCCATTGGCTGCAATACAGTCCTTTAAACGTTGAGGCCAGTTATCAATAGAAGCGCTATGACATGTCCTTCTTCAAACGAGGCTTGTGGAGAGTATTAAGCGGTAGGCAGCGGCTTGGCTCTGCCCCTGGCATTGCTGAAGTCCATGGGCGACGGTAACCACTCACCATCAGGTGGGCCGTATGCTCGTCTGCATACACGGGCAATAAAAGAAAAAAAAAAAAAAAAAGAATCACACGCTCTTTCCATGGGAAAATTTTTCACTGCCAATCGTACGGATTGTTTTAGGGACTCTAAATTATCATGGCGTTTAGAGAAAGCTGTACTCTCTAAAACTGACCATAAATCATAATCCAGCGGATTAAGATCGGGACTAGACGACGGCCAGTCTTCAGCTCTGATGAAGTCCGAAACGTTCGTTTCCAACCAAGACTGCGTAGACCGAGCTTTATGACCTGGCACCGAGTATTGCTGGAAGGACCATTCTTGATTATTGAACATGGTGTTGTTAAGGGGCTTCACTAGCTTCTCAATAATGGTATCTTGATACACTTGTGCCGATGTTTTGATACCTTTTTCACAAAAGTATGGCTCAGTCACTCCTTCATAGCTAATACCCCACCAAACCATTACTGAACGTCACCCCGATGGAAGTTAAAGACTTGATCAAAGACCTACGTCCTCGCAAGGCTCCCGGTTCCGACGGTATATCCAACCGCGTTATTAAACTTCTACCCGTCCAACTCATCGTGATGTTGGCATCTATTTTCAATGCCGCTGTGGCGAACTGTATCTTTCCCGCGGTGTGGAAAGAAGCGGACGTTATCGGCATACATAAACNAACTGCAGAAAGAGGGAAGGAATCGGAATTGGATTGTGAGGCAGTGAATGTTGAGGAACAAGAAGATATGGAAGACATTTCTAGTAGTTTGGAGGAACAGGAAATTATAGAGATACCGAGTCCGGATAAATGGGCAGAAATGTTAGGAATTCCTCCCGAACCAGAATCAGGATATTCTGGTGGTAAAATTCGTCACAAAAGTCACCTACATCAGAGGTCACCTTATAGTAGATTTAACTATAATTACATTAATTAAAACCTTAGATATTATACATTATTTAATAGTAATAGTAGTAATTAGAAGAAAATTATGATTAAGAATCTAATACTTTAAATTGTGATTAAATTGTACTTGTGTGTGTATTTATGGGATCGAAATATATTTCATATTATTATGGATAGTATATGCTTGGGGAGAAGGTATGTAGTGTATTAGTGAGGGTACTTGTTCTCCTTTTAATAAAAGGATTGCTAAGTGCGGGTTGCATAAAGACAGACACACAATGAACTGATTTGTTACCGAACACATGTGCTTAAGTTCTTTATTAAATAATAAAACATAATACATGACAAATTGAACAATTGTCCCCACCTACTATATGTTGTATCAGCTGTTCTCAACTACCAAAATTTACAAATATATGTTTATCACAAGTGAGCCTGGGAAAACGGTGGAATTGCATTTCGGAGGGTTCAAAATGGGTAAATATTTATAGATTTATAGTACATATGTATTTAATATTTTAACTGTACAGCTAGATTTTTAATAAATATAACTTAAAAAAATCTCCTATACTTACTTTCACTTCGTATTAAAACTTTCAGTTCAAGTAAGGGTGTTGCAAATTTGTAAAGAGTATGTTAATTTGAGTAAGAAAGGTTGAGAACAGCTCATCTAAGGAGGTTGCAGGGCAAAGAGTTCCCAATATTTGGTTTTTTCCAATAGTTTGATTTATTGGTTTTCACCATTCATAAGTTTTCAAAATACTTCACACTGATTACATTTACAATCTGTATGTAAGCAAATAGCCAAGAATAAGTAACTACTTTAGTGAATGTCTCAAACTGTAAAGAATTTTAAGTGTGAATATCAATGGAAAATTGTATTTTGGCTTTTTTTGCCTTTATGCAAAAAATATTATAATAATAGTGAGCCTCCATATGATAACAACATTATGTAATAGTAAATATTGTCATATACTATTTTTTGTTTGGTACTGGCACTGGAGCTCAGAGACATCAGCACCAATGCTCCCACTGACTTTGCTACATGTAATCAGACTTATTCTATTTGGAACGACTATTCAACGATTTAAAACTACAATGCATTACTGTTTTGAAAAGAAAAACTTGTTCAAAGGAATCCATCTCCCGCTTTACTAACTAGTGATGCTTTTACATATTTATTCCAGGTGACTTATTAATACTAGAAACCAATAATAAAATGTATGAAATTATTTCATGGCTCTAAATAATTCTAATTCATTTTTGTCATTAAGAGTTAAAAATCAAAACTTTTATTTATTCTATATTAGATGTTACCCATGACTTTGGTCATGTGATCAATTAAAGCATGAATAAATTTTTAGAAAGCATCACGTAATTTTGCAAAAGATAAGAATATAGTTTCCCATCAAGATGATATTTTTTCAGTACAAAATGCAAAGTATAGAAGTAGAGTAAGTTGCCTCTGTCCTGACCTAAAACTTTAAGAAACATCTTGTCAATCTGTTGCTTCGTTTTGACATGAAAGAAGGAAAAAATCATTTTAACCGACTTTGCGCAAAAAGGAGGAAGTTCTTAATTCCACTGTATGATTTTTTTTATGTTTGTAAGCTCATAGCTCTTTTTTTATTACAAAGCTGATGCTTCCCATGTGGTCCCATTTTAATTTAGTCTAGTTCTGATAGTGGTATCCATAAGAAAACCATATAAATCTTAATTTTGCATTAGGTATGTGCGCGACAAATAGATGAATAACTCAATATCACACCAACTGATTTCCATGATTATTGTTTTTAGCGTATATGAATTTGTTTTGAAATATCTTTTTTTATTTGAAGTCAGTTTTGTTAAAGCATTTCTAATTACAATTATCACATTAAAATATTAGTATGGAAGTACAGATTCTGTGACCGTTATTGTATTGATGAATTTTACATTGCTACAACAGAAATTTCAATAATTAGCAAAAAGTATTTTATGTTTTAATTTTTAAGTTTAAGACCTATTTATTATTGCTGATAATCTGTAAATTTATGTTTAATTCCAATTGTAAAACTAAACTGAAATTGTTGTGGCCTAAAGGATATAAATACACAGTGTACTCATTTCAAGCAATACAACTTAGCCAGAATTCAAATGCCTCCAGGATCTAGTGGTTTAGTGTAATACTCACATAGCACTTCTTTAAATAACATAAATGAGTCGACTATTATCGAAGCCGGCAATGTGACTTTTGGACAATTATTGGTAAATCAGAAAAACGAATTATTGACTTTGTATTCCATTGGCAGTCACAAAGCTCTTCTGAATGACATCTTAGATAAATAGCAGGTTAAGTATTAACCTTTATTTAATGCAGGTTTTGAACCGTATTCTTTGAAGGAGACGATTATATTCAAATCAATCTGTATTGACATATCAATAACATTTTTTTGTCCAAATGCACAGATTGCCACCTTTGATAATAGACAACTGAAATAAACAAATGGCATCGCTCACACATTTGCTGCAATTCGACTACTTTGCACTACCACATTAAATTCTTTCCATTTTCTAATTATGATTATAATGTATTTGATTTTAGTGGAATTAAGCTTAAATAAACTAATCAAAAAATTGGATAATTTTCTTACCTGTCCAATTTGGGAAATGGTAGTGGCGGCATCCTGTGTGATCGCCTCAGCCCCTGGGCCTGAAGCACAATCAATCCCCACAGACTGTGATGCACTCTTTCTTGACGCATCATTCTTCGCCTCTTCACTCATTGTACACCAATTAGAACATTTAGAGCAAGAGTCGTTCCTACATGGACTATAAAGCTTTCATCATATAAAATACTTCAATATTTGAACAGGTGCTCTTTGCTGCGTCGCCTTGTGTGACCTGAAACAGGCGAAACGTCTTCACTGTGAGAAAATTTCACCTTAGGAATTCAATCAGTTGACAAATAGGGATGCCCATACATCTAACGTTTCTGTTTTATATAGTGCGCAAGGTTGAAGATAGGACTCTTGGCAAGCTGCAATGCAAGATTTTGGCGTCGTTACACAACACAAAACATCGTGAGAGATGCCATAAGGTCAAGTCTATCCAAGCATATCAACGCACTCACGGTAAGAAACGATCAGATCGATCGGACTACTCCACAGTTTGTTTAGTTAACTTGGGACGAAACAAATACGGGGAAGACAGGAAAAACAAATTTGTTAATGGAATTACAGTCAAGTTGCACGGTATTTTGACAAATTTTGGTCATGTCAAATGTTGTCATTCGATAATTGTCAAAAAAATGTTCTGTGCCACTAAAATGTTATCATTTAATTGGCGAAATATTTATCAAAAGATGCCGATTATAATGTGCCAATAGTAAAATAGTATAAAGGTATAGTTTTATTTTGACCAATAACATGGCATCCTAAATGTTTTGTTGAAATGGTTAAGCCAATGAAAAAACGAGACCACCAATTTAATGTCACAGATTCCATAATGTCACAGACTTCATAATGTTCGGAGCTACCGTTCCCTGCACTATGGAGGATGGAATAGAAAAAGTTTCACTATAAATTCAGAGTGTAATGCCGGCCACTGACATGCGCGCAAATATTCGTACATTGTACGAATGTTTGTGCGCATGTGAAGGGCCGTCAAACATTCATTCGCAAATCTAGCGGCTTTGCAAATGGGTTCGCATACTCAATTTGCGAACCCGTTTGCGCTTCCTCCTACACTTGTTTACGAATGTCTCACGAATTTCTCCTCCTTTTTAATTCGTCAATAGAACATTGAAGAGGAAAAGAGTTTTTAATTCTTTCCCAGACATCATTAACAGCCATGCTGTTTTTATGGGATTTCTTTTGATGAAGATACGCTACACAGTAGACGTCACGAACTATGAAAATGGCGTATAGTATACGTCCGTTACCTTCGCAATCGTCGGCGCAACTGGGCAAGCGAATGTGTGGGAGACTACGCGAAGGTTCGAGGTTCGCGCGCTTTGATGTCTGTTAAAAAACCGACACAGCTTGGAAAACCACGAATGCAGCGAAAACTTTGCATAATCATTCGCAAATGTCGTCCTACACTTGCGGGTTTGCGTATTCGTGCGCATGTGAGTGACCGGTGTAAGAGTTAGTGTATTGCGCAAACGAACGCTCTGAGATCGTGGTCAATTAATGATAAAAAAATATGTTATTTTTTGTACGTTAAGTCGTACACTGTGTGAATTAATAATAAAAATCTTACGTTACGGACGTTTTTTCCCGGTTAGGGTACCCCTCCGCATCGTCCCATAAGGAACTTCGTTCCAAAAAAAAACTTAACTGTGTAATGATTTATGCATAGACAACGGAAGTCTTAGCGGCAGTTAAACCTGAGCTCCAACGATAGTTTTAAGAAATAAATAAAAAAAACTTGATCAACATTCTATGTCGGCCACTGACATGCGCGCATGTGAAGGGCCGTCAAACATTCATTCGCAAACCTAGCGGCTGTGCAAATGGGTTCGCATACTCAATTTGCGAACCCGTTTGCGCTTCCTCCTACACTTGTTTACGAATGTCTCACGAATTTCTCCTCCTTTTTAATTCGTCAATAGAACATTGAAGAGAAAAAGAGTTTTTAATTCTTTCCCAGACATCATTAACAGCCATGCTGTTTTTATGGGATTTCTTTTGATGAAGATACGCTACACAGTAGACGTCACGAACTATGAAAATGGCGTATAGTATACGTCCGTTACCTTCGCAATCGTCGGCGCAACTGGGCAAGCGAATGTGTGGGAGACTACGCGAAGGTTCGAGGTTCGCGCGCTTTGATGTCTGTTAAAAAACCGACACAGCTTGGAAAACCACGAATGCAGCGAAAACTTTGCATAATCATTCGCAAATGTCGTCCTACACTTGTGGGTTTGCGTATTCGTGCGCATGTGAGTGACCGGTGTTAGAATAATCGAGGAATGATAAGATGGTGCAAATGGTAAAAAAATATGTTAGAAAGATATTTTCTATAAATGCTTGTTAATATCATTAAAAATAACTGAATTTATTAAAACCGCGCTAATCGTACTTTAAAGATTAATTGGCCGTCTTCTCTGACTTTTTTTGTTCAAGTATTGTCGAGGTTTGCTGAAGTTTTCAATATTTTTTTGATCTACCTAAGAAATAATTAGACAGTATAAACGCACTTGTTAACAAAACGCTACTAAATTGATCAAAATTAATTAATCTGAGCGATAAAAATAAAAATATCTAGTAAGAGGGGCAACTTAAGGGTGATCATTTGTTTAATTAATTATAAATAAATAAAAGAAGAACAAACAATTTTTACATTCGAACATTAACGAGCAAACGACGAACAAATAATTAAAAAAAAATGCGAAAATAAAAAAAAGAGGGCCAAATTCAGTAAGCCAGGTAGCACCACCCTGCCTATTTCTGCCGTGAAACAGTAATGCGTTTCGGTTTGAAGGGCGAGCTGCCGTTGTAACTATATTGAGACCTTAGAACTGATATCTCAAGGTGGGTGGCGCATTTACGTCGTAGATGTCTATGGGCTCCAGTAACCACTTAACACCAGGTGGGTTGTGAGCTCGTCCACCCATCTAAGCAATAAAAAAAAATGTAGCGTGCTCAAGATCACAGATTAGTATATTAGTTAGCTTAAGATCAAGGTCTAAACAAGCGCAAGAAATGTGCAATTGTCTATAGGACTTTACTTTTGCAATGAGCTTTATTTATGGAGGATAGAGGTAAGGAGAATCAACTGTGTAGATATGTACCTTACATATAAGAAAAGTGTCCGTCGAAATCATAGACTTATATAGTACTTCAGTGGTCGAAATGTATTAAATTAGGGGTGTGCCACATTAGCATCAGGGTTAATTTTTAAAGGAAGCGCCAAATAATTTTAGAGTTGGTTGGTGGTTGGACTTTTTCGCAAAAAAAAGTTATTAGATTAATAATCGTACCATTTACAGATTACGAAATAAAATCACTGTAGGTGCATGTTTTCTTGTTTAAGATTATATTTACTGCATTATTTTGTACAACGTAAGTTATTCGAATTTTCAATAATTTATTACTTTAGTTGAAATGATATAAATTTTTTTAACTCTGTATACTTCAATTCATTTACAATTGCTATATTTATTCCTTAAACGTTTAATATTGACGTTTAACATATCGCCGACACTTTTTACAATCAATTTAATTAATTTCGTGATAGCTTTTTTGTTTAATAATATTAATAAAAAATCGACACTGGCAGAAATGGGATCACTCGAAGCCACTGCTATAATAAAAAAGAATAAACCACTTTACCTACCTATTTAAAAACATTCCCATTTCTTTTACTTCAGTTATTCGTTTTTGTTTCAAGTAAGGATTGGCCAAAAGATACCAGCGGCAATCAATATAAATAGATCTGCAAAAACCAAAGCACTGAATGTCAAAAGCTCATTCAAGACCGTTGAAAATATATTTTTACTGTCCTTAAAAATATGGCCCACATACATGGTGAGTAGTTACCGTCGCCCATTGACTTCAGCAATCGTTAAGTACTCTCCACAAGCCTCGTTTGAAGAAGGACATGTCATAGCGCTCGGGAAGCACCGTGGAGGGGAGCTCATTTCAAAGCCTGTGGGTGAACTGTGGACGAACGCAGTGGCCCAAGTAGTATGAATGAACTCTACTCTGGTGGCGGGCGGTGCGATAGTAAAAAGGAGATGATGGTATCATCTCAAACAATTCCTCCGAGCACTCCTCATGGAACATATGGTACAAAATACAGAGAGAAGCGAAGTCCCTCCGCAGACCCAGAGGTTCCAAGCGATCCGTGCGAATAGGGTTATCGACAACCCGAAGGTTCTCTTATATATGGAGTTAAATGGAAGTAGCTGGTATTTGGGAGCACCAGCCCAGAGGTAGGAGCAGTACTCCACGCGAGCCGGACTTATGCTTTATAAAGCAGTCCAGGCGTGAAACGTCGCTTCGCTCTGTTGAGGACTCCAAGCATTTTGGAGGCCAACTTGGCTTTGCCCTCCAAATGAATCTGAAATCGACCCCAAGTATTCTGATACTCACGGAAGGGTGCAGGAATACTCCTTGGAATTGCGGGACCATAACAAAGGGTCCTTCTTCGCAGTGAATGCGCAGATTAGTGTCTCGCCCCAGAGAGCTCTCCACTTCAGACACACACACAATTTAAAAATATTACTGCTTACAGAATTTTCAAATATTGGTAATTTACAGGAATATAATGAGGAGAGTCAATAATAGTTCTTAGTGTAGTATTTTTTTCGGTTTTTAAAGTCCTATTACAATATTTCCGACGTATGTAATAAAATATTCGAAGCGTTGGAAATAACGCAATAATAATAAAGAACGCAATAATAAGCCGTGAAATCAATTTCACTTTTTTTTTATTATTGCCTTTGTAGGCAGACGGGCATACGGCCCACCTGATGGTGAGTGGTTACCGTCGCCCATGGACTTCAGCAATGCCAGGGGCAGAGCCAAGCCGCTGCCTACCGCTTAATACTCTCCACAAGCCTCGTTTGAAGAAGGACATGTCATAGCGCTCGGGAAACACCGTGGAGGGGAGCTCATTCCATAGCCGGATGGTACGTGGCAAAAAAGATCTCTGGAAACGCACTGTGGATGACCGCAGTGGCTCCAGGTAGTATGGATGAACTCTACTCCGGTGGCGGGCGGTGCGATGGTAAAAACGAGATGCTGGTATCATCTCGAACAATTCCTCAGAGCACTCCCCATGGAACATACGGTACAAAATACAGAGGGAACCGAAGTCCCTCCGCAGACCCAGAGGTTCCAAGCGATCCGTGCGAATAGGGTTATCGACAACCCGAAGGTTCTCTTATATATGGAGTTAAATGGAAGTAGCTGGTATTTGGGAGCACCAGCCCAGAGGTAGGAGCAGTACTCCACGCGAGCCGGACTTATGCTTTATAAAGCAGTCCAGGCGTGAAACGTCGCTTCGCTCTGTTGAGGACTCCAAGCATTTTGGAGGCCAACTTGGCTTTGCCCTCCAAATGAATCTGAAATCGACCCCAAGTATTCTGATACTCACGGAAGGGTGCAGGAATACTCCTTGGAATTGCGGGACCATAACAAAGGGTCCTTCTTCGCAGTGAATGCGCAGATTAGTGTCTCGCCCCAGAGAGCTCTCCACTTCAGACACACACACAATTTAAAAATATTACTGCTTACAGAATTTTCAAATATTGGTAATTTACAGGAATATAATGAGGAGAGTCAATAATAGTTCTTAGTGTAGTATTTTTTTCGGTTTTTAAAGTCCTATTACAATATTTCCGACGTATGTAATAAAATATTCGAAGCGTTGGAAATAACGCAATAATAATAAAGAACGCAATAATAAGCCGTGAAATCAATTTCACTTTTTTTTTTTTATTGCCTTTGTAGGCAGACGGGCATACGGCCCACCTGATGGTGAGTGGTTACCGTCGCCCATGGACTTCAGCAATGCCAGGGGCAGAGCCAAGCCGCTGCCTACCGCTTAATACTCTCCACAAGCCTCGTTTGAAGAAGGACATGTCATAGCGCTCGGGAAACACCGTGGAGGGGAGCTCATTCCATAGCCGGATGGTACGTGGCAAAAAAGATCTCTGGAAACGCACTGTGGATGACCCCAGTGGCTCCAGGTAGTATGTATGAACTCTACTCTGGTGGCGGGCGGTGCGATGGTAAAAACGAGATGCTGGTATCATCTCGAACAATTCCTCAGAGCACTCCCCATGGAACATACGGTATAAAATACAGAGGGAACCGAAGTCCCTCCGCAGACCCAGAGGCTCCAAACGATCCGAGAGTATTGTTGTGAAAATGGGAATTAATGTATACCCAGCAGTGTAATAATTCGGTTAATTGGGCAGTAGGTATAAAAGGTTTATTCTACTTTGGGCGTAACACTCTCGTATGTTCCCATTATCACAATCTGCTATTATTATGAATCTTAAGCTATAGAAATCCTGTTAAAAAAAGATGTGGTGTCGTAGGACACCAGGTAGGAACAAAGTTCCTTCGGCAAATGTAGAATCGACACAATTTGCAAAAAAAAGTCGTGCTCAATTTTATGTAGGTTTTCTTGATTTTTCTCTTAAACTTTGCTGATTAGTTTTTATTTAAGTACAGGAAAGTATTTAGGAAATTCAGTATTTTAGGAAATAATAAATTACGTAAAATAAAAAATAAAATCATAATTCAAATTATCAATTAAAATCAAAATAACAAAATATGTCTCTTTATTTTTGTTTGACAACATAAAATTACATAGAATTAGAAATAATTACAAAATATACACTACTCGCTAGTGTATACGACTGTCCCGCCTGCGCACGTCACATTTAACGGTTTTATTCGACGGACTTTTTCTTACGGTATTACTATCACATTTTTTTCAGTTCGGTCGCGCAGCAAAATCCCTATCTCCTCCAAGCCTGACGTAAGGAACTTCGTTCCAAAAAGACATTCATGATAAATTAAGCTCATTTGCGTTCTTACGACCTACGCAGAGGTAGGTACAAAAACACGCATTCAACGTGTAAAATACTGCATAATACTGCATAAATACTGCATAAAAATGCAAATCGTCAGTTGCTTCACAGGATTTAGGAATACTCTTTGATGCAAAATCAGCAAACTTCAAGATTAATCAGCTTTTGCCAATCCTAGATAGGGATTTTAGAAATTCACATCTGGCAACACTGACCTAACGCAACTTGTAAAATTTGAATATGCTGTGTCTTTTTCAGTGACAACACTGGTCTCCATTCCGCAGATTTGAGTGCAACGGTGTCGCACGTGAACGTGTTGCTAAAAATCTCAATAAATTAGTGAAATCATCATGACGGACGAGTTTTTCTATGGTAAGCTACGCTACATATTTATTGCTTGGAAGTTTTGTAATGTTATTTACACGTTAAATACGGTACTTTCCTTTAAAGTAATGTGTTAATGGCGTACAATTCTATTCGCCCGGCTCGCCATTTTACTTGCCTCTACTCTTTATTTTTTTATTAACGCATATAGTGTTAGTATCTTTAAACAAACGCGTGTTCATTCTATTCATAGCATCATCTTAAAATTTTAATTCATTTATTAAAGTTACTTGCCGCCATTTTTGGTAAATTAAGTAAAACAATTAATTTCGTCGTCAAAATGAATGTAATGGCGTAAGGGGTATGGAATTAATCGCAACCCCACGCTTGATAGTATTGATTATTTGACGCACAGTGTTACAGACATGCCTACTAAGCGTGGTATATGGGCGCGTAATTTGAATGTTAGCGTCATATTGGTTGCTCTTTCTACCGTTTCAGTTCCATAATTTTGGATTTGATTAATTGATGTCCAGAAATTTCGCTGTTTATAGTTTGCTTTTTTGTTTACTCTGTATATGTTGTCCACGTTGAGGTTATGGCTATGATACAACCGGCGTCACGCCACTGCTTAAAAATGACACATGTTATAAAATTAAACAATGGCAGTAATTTTGTAACTTATAACATTATTTTGTGGCATGTTAATTTGGAATAAACATCTACATGCATGCTTGATGAACTATCTCCCTAAATTATGTTTAACAAGATACGTAATTACAGAGTAAAGGATCGTTAGTAACCCGAAACTATAATTAAAAACCAGTCTTAAGTAAATTAATAACAGATAATTTACTAAATGCCTAAATAACAAATTAATAGACCATTTTCAAATGAAATTTTCAGGTGTCACCCTTTCATCATCACATCAGTCAGAGACATGGGATCCAGAGGCAAAAGCAGAATACCCACGCAGCAACAAGCTCGTCATTCGTCAAGCATTGTTAGGTCCAGATGCCAAACCAGATGAATTAAATGTGATACAGGTAATAAAATACCATATCCATTTCCAAAGATCTTAATAATGAAACAAATGGTTTTTTTTTCTGAAATAGATTTAAATATTGCACATAAGGAACTTTGGCACATTCAAACAAAATTTAAAAAAAGAATGAAATATTGAATATGATAATGAAATAAAAATATTAAATGTAATTTCATAAATGGTTTTTAGGTGGAAGCCATGTCACTACAAGAAGCAGTAAAACTACCAGTCGCAGTATTGAAAGTTGGTGAATCAAGGCATGTACGTCTGGACATTGAATTCCCAGATGCGCCTGTTACATTTACTCTTGTTCAGGTAATTAATAATATTGCTAGCCATACTGTAAATGATATAATAATAATTTTACTATGCATTAAATCTTTTCATTGTGCATCATTTATGATGATAAAACAAACCATTGTGTTATGTGATAGGCACGCGACTTCGTTTTGATAGTTGTACTGCCTTTTCATGATTTCTTGAGGCATTTGTCTGATCAAAAAGTCATTCAAATATTATAAAACTTAATTTGATTTATTTCATCAAAAAAGAACTGTGCTTCAGGGTTCGGGGCCAGTACACTTAATTGGACACCATCTCCTTGGTGCTCTGCTTGAAGAATTTGAAGATATGGAGGAAATGGAAGAAGAAATGTTAGATGAAGAAGAAGGAGATGATTCTCAGTTCAAGGTTAGTGTTCTGTGATTTTTATTAAATGTTTGCTTATTATATAAGAACGTGTCAATTGTTTATGACTCAACTCAAAAGTTTTTTTTATATGTAATATACAAGATGTATATTACTGTGTATGAATTGGGATCTTCTATTATTATTTTACTATGATAACCTCTTATATAGTAGCCAAATAAATTTCCAGGAAGATGAGAATAAAAGAAAAGGAGCAGGGAAGCGCAAGCCGAATGAGGTACTGAAAACCTTCAACTAATAAACTATTACATTTACTATATTCAGAGGGAAAAGGAATTGCATTATGAGCAATAATGGCAGTAGTGAAATAAAAAATGATTGCAAATTATTTGTCCAAAAATTTACCAATACTGTTATTTATATATTCGGTATGGGTATGTCTGCATGTACTGTGTGCTCAAATTCCTTTTAAAATATTAAATTGGCTGTTGGTTTTCTGTATACTCATTCCAACCCCTTTACCTTCTGATAGTGTTTTGGGTTGTAGTGTATATATAAGAGTATTAACTGTATTTTAGGTACCAAATACCAGTGATTGTGCTTATTCTTAAAATTTGTTTTGCATTTTGTTTGTAAAAGAATCTTAAAAACATACTTAAAATTTACATAAAAGACAAGTATTTTGTATTAGTGATTGATATTTGGGATGATGGTTAAGTAGTTATTTATATTATTACAGGATGAAGATAATGAAGAAGGTGAACCCAAGGGCAAAAAAGCGAAAATGTCGAATAATGCCAAAGGCAAAGCTGCATCGCCCAAGAAGAATGCCAAGAAATGAACAAACCGCCTGGAGACCCATTTTGGGCTAGTCGTACCGTCGCCATTTTAGGTATAATTATATCTAAATTGTGCAGGCGAGGGTGCGACCACCCAGCTAGTTATAACTACTTAGTGTGGTAATTCAGCATAGGTTAGCATTGTATCGACTCGAGCATGATTGGAAGAGAGCCTACGTGTCCGTGAGCGCGAGTGATAGTTCTACCGGTCAAGGTGTCTGCGAACTTATTCATTTTCTGTAGTTACCTATGATCGAGTGTGATTTTTTCTTCACTTATTTTATATTATTTTTCTTTACTAAATTTCCATTCCTTACTGTGGTATAGCGTTGTGGATGTCAAATTTAAGGTTAAAGTGAGTCCTAGTATTCACACAGATGTATTTTTAAGTTAAGGCGTATATTAAGCATCATCAAGGTACTTTGTAAGACAGTCATTTTGTATCAAACTGCTGCTGGTCGACATGTAATTGAATTTGCCGAACGATTTCTCATTTCAGAATGAAAAACTAATTATAGTTTGTTTGTACATATACATTAAAGCATAAGAACGGTAACAATAAAATAAAACCATTTCTAAACATTGACGTAACTTTTATTTTTCCTCCTTTTACTTTAATTTCGGTTTAACAGGGCAAGTAATATTTTATTGCGTTCTCTCTGTATCATGTTGGACTCTTCCATAGACTGTACTAGTTTATCAAACTTACTTGTATCCCTTACATCTTGCATTTCTTGGACAACCCTTTTAATTTCGTGGATTGTCAAATTGTCTACAGAGCGGGCATTTTGATTTGGAACATCAAATATTTTCTCGAAGTATGAGAAATACGGCCATTTGGTATTTTTACCAGTTTCTCTTTTTCTTTCTATTAACCGGATGTAAGTTTGTTTTAAATTTCTAAACTTCCTATCACATTCGTCTGGTGATAATAGAATTTGCGGACTAAGTTTCTTCCACAAAGTGCGTTTTTTTATTAGAGGATCCCTAAATTTATCTACATTTTCAATATAAAATAATAGTAATTGTCTTACATAATCATCTCTATTTGGTTTGTAAACTAATTTAACGTTATTAGTAGTGCAATATGTTTGATGACCGTAAATTTCTTCGAAATCTTTGTAATATCGCCACTTTGTGACCGCTAACCCCGATTCAACTTTTGACCGAATTCTGATATAGGTCTGCTTTAGATTTCTAAATTTTTTTTCACAATCTGGTGGATTTTCTCCTACTGTTTCTGAAATCTCTTTCCACAATTCTTTTTTTAAATATCTTGGGTTTCTAAACTTGTTTAGTCTCTCTATGTATGCATCCAATAACAATCTAATCTTTGTTCGATTCCAAGGACCAGTGTTAGGGTTGCTATTATAATATATTCGTTCAAAAAAGTGATGGTAAGGCCACTTTATTGGTTTTCCTGTGTCCTTGCTTCTTTCCAACCAATTTAAATAAGCTCTTTTCATGTTTTTAAACTTGTGATAGCAGTTATATTCTGTTGTGCCAATTTCTAATGCAATTTCTTTCCAAATATCTTTTTGTAGGCAAGTTGAGCTTCTTAAACGGTGAAGATTTTCAATATATAAAAGTAAGAGTTTTCTTACTTTTTGATCATCCCAAGTTTCTAGAAAAGAAGAGGGGAGTGATTTACACTCTTTGAAAACTTCTTCACATGTATTATAATGCACCCATTTGATTTCTTTGCCTAACCTATTCTTTTTTAAGAGCCTAATATAAGTTCTCCTTAAATTTCTGTATTTTTTACAACATTCATCTGCAGTAGTACCTACATGCGATGCAATGTCATGCCATAATGTTTTTTGTTTATTTATGTTTTTGAATCTGTCTTCTAGGCACAGTTTAAGGAGTAGTCTTATTTTGCTTCTATCCCAAAAGACGTCTTTAGTAGTACTACAAACTTTTTCTTGTGGTTGGCTATCATGTTCTTGTACGATTATCGGAGGTTCATTTATGTGGATAAATTGTCTATTTTCTCCTGTTTCTACTACGTATCTTGTCTCTTGAAGTGGAACTACAAAAAAATACAATTTGTATTATTATAATATTCTGTAAACATTGAAACAAGGTAGTACATATATTCTTATTTCTGCTGCCAAGTAGGAAAAGGAAGGGTTTCATTTCTTTATATATTTTCCCTCATATATTTGCACAGTTGAAGCGTGCAGAGTGATCTCTTTCAGACTAACATCAAGTAGACAACTAAAATATGTTATTGCTTCACCGCAGGCATAGGCAGGGTGGTGGTTGATACCCGTGCTGGCTCACATGACCCCCTACTAAAGGGCAGTCTATTATTTTATGTGAGATAATTTCACAGAAATAATGATTGTCAAATATAACACGCTTACTGCATGAAAGTACTGAGACGGAGAAATTAGGTACTGTGGATGACTGACTCAATGGTGCAGCAGTGGTTGGTCAGTTTGATTCCCACATAGGGGAAGTATTCGTGTGATTATAAGGTTTGTTTGCTCTTTGTCTGTGTGTTTATTATCTACATGTGTATGTAAGTATGTCAGTCTCTGGTACCCATAATATGGTGAACTAGTGCCCCGTCCTTGCTTTGCTTCAGGAAAATTAATTATATTATTGAATATGAAGTTAAGATAGGAGATTTTTTTCTGACTCCCTTGATACTTATTGCTATATTTTGGGTAATTCACAATATATCTTTATAAATTATAGCCTATGTGTTATTCTAATGTGTAATCTATTCAGTATTTTTTGCGTGAAAGCATATCAAACATACATTCTTACAAAGTTTCGCATTTTATAATATTCACTAATATTTTAATCTTCCTAGATTCTAATTTGGAGCTGGATGACCGTGCATAATTTATTCCCAGTAATTTATAATTATTAATATTTATATGATTATTACATGTGGTTATCAGGTAATTAGTTATAGTTATAACAATTCACTTTCATAGTGAATGAATAACATCGTGTAACAAAAATCAAACCTGCAAAATTATAATTTACGTAATTACTGGTGGTAGAATGCCTTGTAAATCCGCATAGGTAGCTACCACCACCCTATTGTCGGTGAATCAGTAATGCGTTTGGGTTTGAGGGGTGAGGCATCAAATAAAACCGATCTATTCTGATCTGTTTTTATTGTAGGTGACCAGTCGTAGAGTTTTATTTGATGAACGAAAGTAAGTTAGTTTGTGTTATATATTTTACGCATGTCTATATTACGTATAATTAGCATAAATAATATTACTCACTTTGGGGATTTTGATTAACAAAATTATTGGTACTAAGTATCACATTGCTCTGATCTTCTCTAAGTACAAACCAATAGCTTTGATTTGGAGGGTTGTTCATATCCATTTTTAACGAAAAATATCTAAATAACTATAAATATTTACATGACAGTGTTCTAAAGAACAGGAGGATTGTATTCAGTATGAAAACTTTATATACATAGTTACAGGGATATTCTATTTAATTATTTAATTTAAATTAATTCGAAACTATCGCAGAGCGCTATCTTGGCCCCATAGATTATACACTTAATATATTCGAGATAGATGCGCAACTCTCATTTTTATTTTTGCTTTAGTTAAAGCCCGGTCCAGCAGGCGTCGCTACGGTCGATTATTAGTCTCCCTACCCCCCACCAGGTGGCTTTTTTAGTAATTTTAATATTTTTAATAACTCTCTTTATGAAAAAATCTTATCGTTTAGAATCGCTGAAATTCCCGGNAAAAGGGAGAATTCCCTAAAAGTGGAAGCACTGCTTCAAAGTACGCTACATTTTTTATTGAGTCAGAACTCATATCTGCCATCTAGTGAGTTTATTAGATCATTAATGCCTAAAAGTTACAAAAATGACGTCGCCACAGGAGTAAGATGACGCTAGTTGTATGTTATTTTCCTTTGTATGGGAGTTGCACCCCCCTGCTTGGCCCTCTTGGCCTGTCAGCGATTCAGCGATTGTCATTTGTCAACGTCATAAATAAGTAGGTACCGGTAAAACAGGGTGATTAGGGACAAATTCCAACTTGATGAACAATTTTAAGGTAGTTGTTGATGTTTAAAATGCTATATCAGGATCAAAATGATTGATTCTTGGCGGTATCTTTGTTATCCAATTTAAAGCTATGCAAGTAGCATTCCAGTTTATGCAAAAATAGGTGTTATCCCTATTTATCCAAAGATTGCGGTTATTGGGGATGAAATTAGTTATAATAGAGAAATTTGCTAGGGCTGGCACTCCTTGGTTTTAATTTATTTATTTGTACCAACAAAGTGATCATCAATAAAAAACATTGAAAAACTGATAAAGGTACATGGCAGATGTCACCTCAATTATAGGTGTAATCGACGCGACAGTGCATTGATAACAAAAATAAAAAATTAAAACTTGACTACATTTAATTACTTATGATTAATTTATATTTACTTGGGAAATTATCCGCGACGGATTTTTCCTGTAAGTTGGGAGACAATTAGAAAAAACATCTATTTCATCACTTAAAGTTAGTTCAGCGCAATCGGATAACTCCGAATGAACATTAACAGAGACCGCGCTACCGTGGACATTATTGTAGTCCCAAACGAATTTGTTTAAGGGAGAGTAAGCACCTAAATTCGAACGAGTGGAATTTCTTATAAGCGGTTTATATTTCCTTGTCTTAGTAAGTACTTAGGGGCTGATACTTTTATCTGGGTTAAGAGATTAGGTGTGTCCATTATTCCATGGATTAATCAGGTGGATATCCCCACTCGAACAAATATTAATAAATTTTATTATATATTACTTAGTCATTTTTGTCCACCTTGAGATTTCATTGTTCTTGTTACATGTCTGTGCAAAACCGACTTACTTATGTTAAATTGCTTAGCTATTTCAACTAAAGACTTATTCCTAATTTCATAGGCTTCTATTACTGTTTTTAATATTAAGGGATCATATCTCTTATAAGGATTTGCACTCTTTGATACCTACACGCGAGGCATATCTAAAAATAGAAAACAACACGTAACTGATAATATAAATATTTGCCAAACAATAAAATTGGTATTGGCATTGGTAATTTTGAATCAAACCTGTACCTATTTATACTTAGGTCGTTTCCATTTCACTTATTCTCATCCCAATTGACCCTTTTTTCGTTGTTATTTGTACTTGAGACGTCCCCAATATCCCCAAAAACAACAGATTTTTACATGTATTTTTATTTTATCAAATACATTAAATCTAATAACAACTGAGATTTACATTTAATATGTATGATGGTTCAAACACTAAATAACGTTTATATATCACAGTCGTCTTCTATTATTATCAAATAAATAAAAGAGAGCAAAGTTTCTAGCACTAAATTACCCGATGATATGTAGGCGAAGTAAAATGTCCCTTAGAAATAAGATGACACTCTACAAGACTTGCATACGCCCCGTCATGACCTATGCAAGTGTAGTGTTCGCTCACGCGGCCCGCACTCACGCAATCCTTCCAAATTATTCAATCCCGTTTTTGCAGGATAGCCGTCGGAGCCCCGTGGTTCGTCAGGAACGTCGACCTCCATGACGACTTGGACTTAGAGTCCATCAGTAAGTATCTCCAGTTGGCGTCGATGCGCCACTTTGATAAAGCGGCACGACACGAGAACCCTCTCATCGTGGCCGCCGGTAACTACATTCCCGATCCTGCGGACAGAATGGAAAGCAGTCGACGTCGCCCAAAACACGTCATCTCGGATCCTCCCGATCCACTAACGGTGCTTTTAGGTACTTCAAGCACCGGTCACCGTTCTCGTCGAACCCGTCGCTTGNCGTCGCCCAAAACACGTCATCTCGGATCCTCCCGATCCACTAACGGTGCTTTTAGGTACTTCAAGCACCGGTCACCGTTCTCGTCGAACCCGTCGCTTGCGACGAAGGGCTCGACGAGTAAATTAACTCTCAGACACAGCCCACTGAGTTTCTCGCCGGATCTTCTCAATGGGTCGCGTTTCCGATCCGGTGGTAGATTCTGCGAAGCACGGCTCTTGCTAGGGTTCGTGTTAGGAACGTCATCAGGTTTGAGCCCCGTGAGCTCACCTACAAACGTTAGGGTTACGCTGTAATAGCCTCTCAAGGCTCTCAGCTTAGGTAGGAAAAAGAAAAAAAAAAAAGCACTAAAATAATGACCACCATAAGAAGTTAATTTGAAATGCGATTTTTTATAAGTTAGCAGCTATTATCATGCATATTCAGAGTTGTTTTGTGAACTTTCAACATTCTACTATTACACTACAAAATATTGCGCGTCGAAAGATTTTCCTGGTTTTTTCCCCATTCACCTCTCGATCCTTAAACACCCCATTTTACGTACCATTAAAATGGTCAGATGCCATTTTCGTTGCTACTTTTTTGAACTTTAACAACTTTTTTTTGTACTTGAACAATGATTTACAACATTATATATTAATTTTAAATAATAATATACTGTGAGCTAGGTTCATTTAAATGATTTTTACTAAGTCCCTTCGTACACAAGGCTACGCAAATCTTCGATACTTAACGATTTTAGTCTCCAGACGACTACCGCCATACAAAGCTATTGAGGTTCGTACACGAGTCGATAATAAGTCTCGGCGATTTCCAAGATGGCGGAGCAATTTTTTAATATTATATTTGTTTCTGAGGTGGAAAAATATCCTTGTTTATATAATTATAAATTAAAGGCATACTCAAAAAAGGAACGGAAGGAAATAACAGAAAAAGCTTTGGGTAGCAGTAGGAAAGGCCGTTAATACAACAGATTGGTATATTTTTATAGTTTTAAACATAGTCAGTACATAATTTTGTAAAGAAAAAACACTTTTTGGCAGTATATTCTTTCTAATAAGCTTTTATTTTAGATATTTACACGAATTTTGTGTACATTGTATTATGCTAACCGATGTAAGCCGGATTGCCGACGTTCTTGTTGTAATCTATGATAATTATCTAGTATACCAGATATCCGTATCCACTAAACCGGAAACAATACAACAAGTAATATCTGATGCTAAATTAATGTTATAATTAATGGTAAATTATTGGTATAGTAACTAAATAGGCAACTCGCGTCTTGCGATTCATTGTCGTGTGTACGGACCGTGCGTTACTCGATATTCGCGACTTGATACTAATGTCGTTTACAACATTAGTATCGAAGATTTGCGTAGCCTTGTGTACAAAGGGCCTAATTTTCCACTCTTAATCAATGTTTTGGTTTTACGGCCCTACGTTCAGGTCCTTTTTCCAAAAATTACCCTATGGACCATAAAAATCATTTCATATTACCATTACCATGACAATATAGTCAAAACTCTTTGGCGGAAACACGAAGAGTGAAACTAATTGGATTATTTTACTCTGAGTTTTAAATCTATATTCATGTTCGAAGGTACCATATTCGTTAAAATTGATTATTTGAGACACGATCCATAACATTTTTTTTTTTTTGGAATTTTTGGCCTGGTATCTAGACCTTTAGGCCACGATACATAACATAGAAATCATAGTCATAGATTATACACTTTATATCTCATAGTGGTTGGTGCCATGGAGTTAATAAGTACCTAGTTGGTGCATAGTTAGTACTTATTAACTCCATGGGTTGGTGTCATTCACGTTATGTTTTCTATGGCCCTTCAGTAACAATCAATTTAAAAAACGTATTTTATTTGTATTTTTTTGCTCTTATTTCGTAATTTCAGTTAGTATTTATTTTATTTTATTGTTATTTAATTTATGCAATATAATTTTTTTTTAAATAGTCTGCACTAGCTTTGTGCTGGAAGTAATTAAATTCAGACTCAAAGGTCAAGTGTCTAGTGACAGCAATAAATTTTGAAATTAAGAGTGTAACGAAGGGCGCCATTTTGATCTTGATGTTTCTGTTTCTATTCGTTTCTACATACGGTTACGATTTTTATCGAAGTTTTATTCTAACTGTAAACAATTGCTCGTGATTTCGAGAGTGGTTCGATTATTATGAGAGTATTTATACGAATTAAAAAATATTAAAGTAGCCTAAGTAAGTGTTTTTATTTAAGTTTAAAACGACATCAGCCCGGTGTGCGTTGTTTTTAGTTCAAATGATGTCAGATAATGTCATTTGACAAATAAACCCTGGTTTTTAAAACATCAACAGGCTTAAAAAGCCATTTGTTTTGAAATTTCAATTAATGGTCTATTTTGTTTACCCTAAAAAAAACAATATTTCTTAAATTTGCAAATTAACATTTTTTTCCATTGGCGGGAAATAAATCGCTGTCAAAGCTCAAAGGTGACATTTTGTTTTTGTTACAAAACTAAACTTTTGTTTATAAACATTGTATTCTGTTCAACAAAAAAAAGGTAAGTATCTCATTTTATCGCTACAGTTTGGTCGATAGGTTATTTACTTGTCATAAAGTCGAAATAAATATTGTTTGATTAGTTTATGCTTTTGACCACATGAATTGTACCACATGCAAGAATAGGAAACTTTTCCTTTAGTATTACCTATATAAAACACACAATACAAATACGATAATTTGTAAGTTTTTTACAAAGATGGTTGTTTATGTCTTAAATTAGAAATATATTTCCTACAAGAACTTGAAGAGCGTGAGCTATTAAGAATATAACTGGCATTGCGACTTCATGTCTCAGTACCAATCTTCTGCAATACGAGGTGAATATGATTCGGTAACCACATAAAACTAGGCGTACTTTTATTCAAATGTCTACTAAAAATAAATGAAAAAAAAAAAGATATTCTTTAAGATAATGTTGTTGTATTATTTGAAACAAATCAATGTACAGCTTAGAAAACTATTTATTGATGCTTTTGTTAAACAGGTATGTCAGGAGGCTGTCTGGTGGTTCTTGACCGTAATGGTCGTTATGTCAAAAAGTACCCGTTGCCTGATGGATTGGCTACATTGGGTAGTGACCCTGCATGTGATATCCGTGTGATGCTACCAACTGTCTGTTCTCATCATGCAACTGTAGTTGTGCATGCTAATCAGGTATACAAATGAGAAAATTTCCGTAAAAAATTATCAATTAATATATTTGAAACAAAATTCTATAAGTTTTTATGATAGTTATAAAACTTACTACTTTTACCAAACTGCAAAACAACTATTCTGCAGGTCTATATTTCTATTCAACAGTTCTGGCTTAAAGGGAGGATAGCCACAATTGAGGCCTATAAAATCAAAGGCAGCTAAACGCCTTAATGTCGTAAAATGGATTAACAATGGCGCTATCTTGTTTAGTTAGTTGAACACGCTTTAGTGTTTTCATGTTATAACAAATGCAGCTAAATCTCAAACAAATTCAGTTCAAAAATTTCATTTTTACTCTGTACTAAGTACTAATAAACAAAGTTTTATCATTTAAAATTCAGATTATTAGTAATATTCTCATTCTTTATAAATCTGCTTTAAAATAAACAATATTGTAGCTATCCGAACAAAGTTATTTCAGTTTCTCAAATCGGGAGTGTTACTAACACTGGCCCTAGCAAGAGCAGTACTTCGATGGATCTTTTTTTTTTTTTTTTTTTTTTTTTTTTTTTTTTTTTTTTTTTTTTTTTTTTTTTTTTTTTTTTTTTTTTTTTTTTTTTTTTTTTTTTTTTTTTTTTTTTTTTTTTTTTTTTTTTTTTTTTTTTTTT